GGGAAGTGCCCACCCCCTAAAGCGAAAACCTCTCCAAAAAAAAAAAAAAGTAACTCTGGGAGGCTTATGAATGTATTAACAGCCCCCCCCCTCACCCCTGTGACACAAAGGAGGCTAAAGACATAGAGACATATTCCAGTCAAGATGGCAAGACAGAGTGGGGTAAATATGCAGGGGAATGAAGATCAAAAACCTTGGTTCTCCACGAGGCACAACAAGAATGTGGTCTGACCGTTATAGGTCATTCCATCAACCTTGGCCTGCTACTTCTCATCTGAGAATGGGGGTTTGCATTGGATAACTTATTTATTTATTTATTTTTTTGGAGAGGTTTTTGCTATAAGGCGCTTGTGTTCACCAGAAAGACAGAGAGAGACAGAGAGATAGAAAGTGAGAAATCACCCCCTGGGGGGATCGCCATGCTGCAATCCCTTCTCCTCCATTCTCCTCTCAGGATCTTGGACATGCACACACATGTACCCGGCGTGAATTTAAGCCACCGGGTTCGGGACTTGAACCATGGTCAACTACATGGGAGTTCAGCAACATAGCCATTAAGCTAACTGCTGGTCCCGGCACTGGATGACTTCCAAGCTCCCTTTCACATTTGAAATTTCTGATCCAAACTATCATAAGAGTTACATGAAACTGATTGGTAACTGGTTGACCAAATTGTTTGTTATCCACAGAGCTGAGGCAAGTATTGGCTTCTTACGTTTCAGTAGGTTCCATGTGTTGAAAAGGCTAAATAGTTCTCATAGTGCGGTTTCCAGACTGTCATCATCAGCACCAACTGGGAACTCACTGACTGCATGACAGTAACACAACTGATACTTGAGTCTCTCTCTCAGTGAATTCTTTAGCACACTCTGAAGAATGGTTTCTAGTAAAAAATGAGTAGAAAAAGTGTTCTGACCAACACACAGGAAAGAAAGAGGGAACAATGTTGCCCATTTTAAGAAGGCCAGGAATATCTGTCTCTACTGTCTCCCATTATTTGCTTTCAGCCATGAATATACTTAAGACTTTACTATTCTCAAAGTGTTTTTTCAACATATCTCTTTCTCAAGCTATCTTTTGTCCTTTTTTTCTTTCCCATACAACTTATAAAGCTTACTTCCTTTTGTTCATGATTCAGTCTACTCTAAGCCAGCTTTGACTTCCATGATTCTTTTGAAATCGCTCTACTAAATGTCAGCAGCAATTTCCTACCAGCTGATGCCTTTTTCACTTCCTTTCCTTGTGCTATAATCACTCCCTCCTCAATTCTTCAGAAACCTACAAATAAAACGGCAACACAACCCAGTAATTCTGCTCTTAGGTATCTACCCAAAGGACAAGAAAACACGCAGTTGGAAAAACACTTGCACATCCATGTTTATTGCAGCATTATTCCTAATTGCTGGGACATGGAACCAACCCAAATGTCCAAGAATGAATGAGTGGATTGAAAAAATGTGGCACATATACACTATGGAATACTACTCAACCACAAAAAACAGTGAGACCCTGACATTTGGTACAAAGTGATTGAATGTGGATAATTTAATGCTAAATGAAGCAAGCCAGACTACGAAAGACAGGCAGTGCATGTCCCTGCTTAATATATACCGAATGTCTACACACTTAGCAGAAACAGAAATATTGGAAGGTATAATAGCAAGGAAGGCAACTGTAGAATACTAGTGATGGTATAGGAGGGCAGATAATAGGGGGTGGGGAGCAGAGGGTCAACAAATAAACAAACAAAACATTTAACAGACATGAAAACAAAAAGTTATTAGTTGATGATAATGTATATGGTTATATCTTTGGCTTGACTAATATGCACTGTACATATCAGGAAAAATCATGTTGTACACTATAAAAATATGAAATTCAAAAATTAAAAAAATACATATATTAACTTTTACAGCTAAGTAGCACCTGAAAAAGGTATTCCTAGCACTTCAGTATTGTATATAGTTTTGTAATAATTAAAAATAAGTCCAATGGTAAAAAAAAAAAAGGTGTATAAAACAAAAATACAGGGTCCAGTAGGTGGTGGAGTGGTTAAGGTGCTGGACTCCCACATGGCCAACCATGTTTCAAGTCCTGGACCCAGTGGCATGAAACTCACACTGGGCCCTTGAGAGGAGAGTGGAGGAGAAGGGATTGTGGCATGGCTATCCCCTTTGGGGGGAATGATTTCTCATTTTCTCTCTTTATACCTGTCTTCGTGTCTCTGGCAAGCACACACACCTTATAGAAAAAAAAAAACTCTCAAAAATATAAAACAAAACAAATATACAGTGGAGTTTGAGGATGTCAAAAACAAAAACAAACAAACAAACAAAAAAACAGTCCCTCCTCTTGTTTTCATGATACTATCTGTCTTTGGTTTTCTCCCTCTCCTTCTCCTTCTCTTCTTCTTCCTTCTTCTTTTTTAAATTTAGTTACTATAGATAATTATAGCATACAAAATGAACTTTCCCAGAGTGAATGAATATACTGCATATTAGTCAAGTCAAATATCACCATCCTGACCTGCTTCAAAAAAGTAAATTCATTGCTACACATTTCTTCTCTCTTTTGCTCCAAACATATTCCTAATCAAGGATAATATGTGCCATAGTCACTTTCAGATACCTTGAACTCTTACTTCTCCATTTGCATCACATAAATGGTACCATCTGCTTTTCATGCATAAAATGTACTAGCCCATACATACCTGGTTTTAAACAGATGCCCCATTTTTTATCATATTCATAATTTAAGGTGGTGGCACACCATGGCCCACTATGATTTTCATCAAAAATACAATCATGATGCCAGGTCCCATCAATTAAGAATGGAAATTCACAAGGTCTCCCATAGGAGTTCCCATCTCTGGTATATATCTCTGTGGAATGGGGAGAAAGTAGAGAAAAGCAGAGTTACAAACTGATAATCAGCTCCAGTTAGCTAATTTCTAAAACGGCTTTTTTTTTTTTAAATTGTATTTACTTAGAAGCATTCAGAATGTCAACAAAACAGCTGCAACGTTTTTTTTTTTTGCAATTACAAAGTGGTATTCAGTTAACAGAACAACAATTATTTCGTATAAGCTGCATCAGAGACAACTGAAGATGAAAAAACTACCATCCCCATATATAACTAATTTGTGCTGTGCACCAACAAGAACCTGCTTTAAATTTCCATGCCAATTTACAAGTCCCATACTGTACCAGGCAAGGTTAGTGGCTATTGAAAATACCACCGGGGCAGGGCTATCTAAAGACACATTCGGTAGTGTGTTAACTATATAAAAAAAGACACTGTACAGTTGAAAAACAAATCTTACACAACCTTACATTTCAATTTTTTTCTTTAAAAGGAGTGAGTTGTGTACAGGGGGGTTAAATGCTTTATAGACAAGGGAAAAAAAACTGCGCTAGAACCAACTTATTCATCATCATCATCTTCTTCTTCATCTTCATC